GCGTCTGATGGATCTGCCCACCACGCTGGAGACGGCCGACCAGGCTCCCCCGGCCGCCGCCGCCGCCGCCGCCGCGGCTGTCGCCCAGCCGCAGGGCATCCAGAGGGTGCGCAGCATGTTCCAGCCGGCGGCTTCGGGCGGCGGCAGCGGCGGCGGCACACGCGGCCGCGGCTCCGAGCCGCCGCGCCGCTCCGTCAGCCACACGCCCGGCCACCGCCGCCGCCGCTCATCCAGCACCCGGCGCACCTGCACCAGCCGCAGTCGGCCGGGCCGCAGATCTACCAGAACGTGCAGAACGGGCGGCGGCCGGCGCCGCAGGTGCCGCCGCCGGCGCCGCCGGCCGCCGCCGGGCCGGGCCGCGTGCGCTCGCCGGACGCGGCCAGCAGCGGCAGCGGCTCGCTGGCCGACCAGGTGCTGATGTCCGTGCAGCGCCACGACCGGGTCCAGGTGAGCGCGACGTGTGGCTAGCGGCCGGGTCCAGGTGACAGCCGTACGCGGAGAGCGACCGGGCCCAGGTACCAGACCCAGGTGACTGTGGCGCGTGGCGAGCGACCGGAGACAGGTGAGAGCGGCGCGTGGCTAGCGACCGGGCCCAAGTGAGAGTGGTACGTGGCAAACGACCGGGCCCAGGTGGGGGCGGCGCGTGGCAAGCGACTGGGCCCAGGTGAGAGCGGCGCATGGTGAGTCGCAGACGCCGGCCGGCTCGGCAGCTGGCCACTGGTGGCTTGATGGCTGCAGCTCACGTTTTGCTGCACTATCTTTGACAATGAATCGACAGAAATGCAGTCAAGTCGCTCTTTCTGTTGTGACTGTAGTTTTTTCATCTCGTGAACATTCAGCGTGCACGCCTAATGCGACGGATATTCATCAACTAGTGCGTGCCGTCCTCCGCACGGTGACTAACGCGACGCGGTGTTGCAGGAGGGCCTGGACGACAGTCCCCGCCACAGCATCGCCTCCAACAACTCCAGCAACCTGAGCTCGCCGCCCAGCCCGGGCCGCGACCGCGGCTCCTCCAGCTATGAGAGCTAGAGCGCCGGCCGCCGCCCCGCGCGCCGCCGCCCACTGCAATATACCGTACTCGGATGGCACGGTTAGTCGTTTGTACAATCCGATAGGCAAGTAGTGGGGCCGCGACGGCCGGGGCGCCCGGCCGCCGCGCTCACGTGCTTCGTCCGGACGCCAGTCGCGCCGGCTGCCCCTCTCGGTCGGGCTTCAGTCCTCCAGATGTACCTCCCGGCCGGCCCAGGCGGCCCGAGCGCCCGCCCGCCCGCCACCCGCCCTCTCGCTGCGCCTGGATGTGATTTACCATGTACGGTGGACGAACTGCTCGCGTTACGTATCAAACTGTGTATATACGCCTCGGTATCTAGCATTATTGGAAATAATATAGGTATTTATTATGTATGGTTTTCAAATTTTAGTTGCACATCGATATTTTCTACTTAATTTATATGCCTCGTTTTTGGACGCGGTGGAGCGGTGTTTCCCAGTGCCCGTATTCTTCTGTGCATGTGAGCGAATGAGTGTTCGCCGAAAGTGCTGTTTGATAGACAATAAAGCATGAAATGGATGTGTCGAGAGTTGCAATGTAAATACAGAATGCGCGAACAATAGGCTTTTCCTCGTCATGGATTTAAACGTTGGAAAGCTGACGCGCCTCTTGGAGTAGCCCGATGCACAGAGGCACACGGCGACGTGGGCGACGGCCCACGCAAAATTATACGAAAATATGGGGAGTGTTCCGGATGTAGGAAAGGAAGTGTGCTGGAACGAAAGTGCGGTCGTTTATAGCGATATGTTGCGGGTCCCTGTCCCCCGCTACGGAAAACAACGCGCGCGAAATAATTCAGACGCAATCCACACACAGGCGCGAACGAAGACGAACGGACCATGACAGGCCTTTTTATCTCGTATGGCTTGGCTCTTGGCTTGGCTAGGGCTCGTTTGTGCCGAGTGTCACGCATTACCATACCGCGGCCGACCTTCCATAGGGTGCCGGTAGTGCAATGGCTGAGCTACGCATCTGGGAAGCCAGAGGTGCAGGGCCCCATTCGGGTAACTACCCCTCCTGCCGGAACGGGATGCGAAAGACGCCATATCGCCTCAGCAGACGAATTCGTCGCATAGCCCTGGTGACGACATCATTCGCTTCACGCGCGCGCAACCGGACTGGCGCGAGACCTGGCGCGGAATGGCCTTATGGCGCACTGTCGCAGAGCCTCGGCACCATCGGGCGGCACGCGCCAATGCGTGAGCCGGCCCTGCGGGCGCCGTCCACTATGACTCTGACGCTGACCAGAGGAACATCGTACCTATTGTAAGAAGCCTGATATATGTATACTTGAAAACCATGGCAAGAACAGACTCACAGGCTCCTATCAATCTACCGCATTGATTAAGACTAGCAACATTACAAGCTCAGCATAGGCTTGGAGGATGGGCATCATGCTATTTTTGAAAATGGGTATTTATTAGTTAACCACGCAGACATTTGTAATGTATCAGAATATGCAGCAAACAGACTGAACACCACACAATATCATGGTGGTGCTCTGCCTATGAAAAGAACTTCAAGCAGAGGTTGTGCAGGGTACTTGTTTCCATAATGCCAGAGGGCTCATATACAACTCATATTATGTGATGTTGCCAAAACCAGCCCACAAACAGTTTCCAACTGATGAAGGTTGGATGCAACATGAAACACCATTACAAAAGCATCTAAGGCCAGACAACAGCAAGCAGATGCCAAGGCTTAAACACTTTCTGTTCCTTTTGCCCTGTATACATGTTATGCCATGATCTCTGGCATCTGGGTACATACTTTCTCTTTTTCTCATACTTCTGTCCCACAGACACATTTCCATCATGCTCTGTCATGCAGATACACTGACCTACACACTGGACTTCCCAAATATATTGTGGCTGGTAATTTACAGTTTAATTAGATCACCTGTGAAGCTCCATGCAGCTTTGAAAAAGTCTAGACCTTTCCTCATTACCCTCATCTGCCAGACTTGTCCATAATGACATTCAAATCCCATCACTCCCATTTTGTCTCAACTATTCATGGCCTAGGAAAGGAATGAGATGGGTTAGTCAAGCCCACTGGAGATGGCCCCCCCCCCCCCCAAGAAGGGCAAAGGTGAGTAGCATACCTCATCTGTGCATAAAGAATAATCTCTGTTGACCTGGCTCAGCACTTAGGCACCAATTCATGAAATATTAAGCCACAATGCACAAATATATGGTTTGCAAACATGCATGGTATAGCAGCAACATGGCTGTCACCTGAGCCTGGTACTGAAATCTCTCAAAGCACTGCAAGGTCATACTTAAATAATCTGTAAAATACATCCACTGTGTGTTTGATACCCTAGGTGGTATTGGTGCACCCACTTACTGGACATGCACATGCAACTCAATGCAGGTAAGGTCATGCTTAATTGTGAAATTACCTTTGCATAGAAATCGGTTTGAAGCCAGTCTGCAAAAAAAACCACCCACAGCACCAGATGCCTACACAACATTGACTAGCTCAACAGCATGTTTGCATGTACCAAACTTGTGGCAGGCCCAAATCATGCTGCCATTTCAGATCATAAAAAAATTTGAGCATGTTTGCCAGACATTAATTCTTAACATCACAATTCTTTGAAACAATAGCTCTATTATCAAGTAAGTCTTTGAAAAGTACTACTATTATGCCATATTTCTTTGGTAAATTATGCAATTTTCACAATCTGGGTTGGGGTGTTTTTGCTCGAAATAACCACACCATGCTAATGCCTTGGAACATTAGCTCCCTATGTGCCAAAATTGGTGGGAGCATCAACGCAGATCCACTTCCAGACCACAATGATCATGGATAATGAGATTTTGCTTGACATGATAATTTTCCGATAATAATGAGATTCCAATCGCGTCTTATATTATTCATATTAACGTCATACGTTCCTCACACAATCTGCACAAATACCCAGCGCAAGTACGGGTAATCAAGTGTCCAACCAACAAACAAACACGCGCCGTTTTCGTTATATGTTCGCCGTGTTTGCCTATGACACTGCCCCCATATCATCCGTCTTTTTATGTTACCTCCTAAACTAGTATAAAATTGGTATTATTGCATATTAATAAATTCATAAATATATATTTAACTTAACTGAATTGAGTCTTATTATGTTTATGTTATAAACTAGTGTCTCAAGCTTAGTTTTCTATCGAAAAATGGGCGTTGTGAAACATTACAAATTTACCAGAAAGAAGCCAACGTATTGGCTAGTCTATATATCTGGAATCTGACACATTAATGAACGACAAAAGACCATAGATATATTTTCAAAATATCTTGGACGAATGACTCTATGTTTTGATGACAAAAATATTCCGGGCACCGTATACAAGGATCGTATAACTAAGCCCGGCATTTCGTGAAGTTTATTGCTGCCATATCCTA